ACTCGGCGGCGTGGCGGCGGACGCCAGCAGCAAAGCGGTGCAGCTCGGCGGAAACCATGCTGCCGCTCACCGCCGCTGCAGTGGAGGCGAACAGCAGCAACGAGGCCACTGTGCTGTCGCACACGCTACACATGCAACAAGGGTACACGCGCAGCCTCCTCGGAAGTCGCGAGGAATACGTGAGCGTGGCGGAGATCAACAACGCGTGCGGCAGCTTGCTGCGGCTGCTGCAACATCTCATCGACTGGCATCGCATCCCCGTGCAGAACTCGGCGCTGCGGCCGAACGGGGAGCAGAGCACAGTGGAGGCGATCACAGCGCGTGGTTCACCTTTGAAGGTGTCACGGCGCGTGGCCGACTTCTTCATTAACGAAAAGTTCTTCGCCTGGAAGACGTTCGGAACCGGGTGCAGCATCGTCACCAGCTGCGTGCTGGAGATCGTGTCGTGGATGACGGACCGGCTCCAGTTGCTTGCGGATGATGTGCGTCAACACCTCGCCAGAGAGGAGGATGAGAATTCGCCGGTGGATTCGTCCGTGTCGTCGTGCGCGGCCGCTGTACTGCAGTCGCTGACTCCGCCCACCCCGCCGTACGTTGTTACGCAGGATCGCGTGGATGGCTTCTCTGTGCGCCACGGAGACGTGAGCGATGAGTTGTGGACGATTGCGATAAAGAAACTGCTTGCGGTCGTGCAGTGGTGCGTGATGGCCTCGCGCGATGTGGATAGCCTGCAGCGCCTGCTTGGCGAGGAGGGGGATTCGTAGGGACGAAGCCTGATTCAACGTCTTATTTCATATCCCTGGTGCTCTTACTGCTGCTTCTACTTCTTCTGATCGTGCCCTCGTTTGTTGCGGGAGCTTGTGGGCGGTGTGTGTGTGTGTGTGTGTGTCTGGCGTGAGTGGCTGCGTGTTTCTACGCGCATGGTATGAGACCCCGCCCTTTCTTTTTGTTTGCGGTATTGGTTCTGTATTCCTCTTGGCTCAGGCACTTCCTCTTCGTGTTTTTGTTTTGGTTCGCTTTGTTGCTTGCTTGCTGCTGAACCTTCCATCTCCTCTTTGTTTCTCTCTATCTCTCCTCTTCTCCTTGATACTTTGCACGCTGCACCAGCAGCAGTAGCCACAAAGCAGCAGTAACAACAACAGTAGAAGCCACAGCAATGGCGGCGCTCAACCAGGTTGCGCTTCTTCCTGGTGGCTGCCATCAGAGCTGCACGCTCCCTGTTGTGGGACGCAGCAACGCCATCGCGTACTGCTCCCCTGCAGCGATCTATATGTACACACCAACCACACACACTGTCAACCCCGCAGGGCGACGCAACAGCACCAAGTCTACTGTATCCGCCGCCTCCGCGGGGGACGGCAAGGCTGTCAGTGTATACCCCCTCACGCACATCTTTGCGAACGGTGTCGCTGGTGCCATTAAATCCTTCGACTTCAACGACGAATACGTGACGTGTGTGACGGCCGGTGCGAAAACAGCCGTTTGGCGTCTCTCCGATGGCGAACAGCTCCACGGTAAGCGTCTACCGAGTGGCGTCGGTGACTTTTTCAAGCGCGAGGGCGGCCCATCGGTGGTGCGTGTCGCTGGGAAGCACCACATTATCTACGGCACGACCACCGGCTGGGTAGTCACAGCCAACATGAACGATGGTACCACAACACACCAACTGAAACTTGCAAACACCGACGGAAGCGTCAGCATTGTCAATAGCAACAGCAACAACAACAACAACAACAATAGTAGAGGCATTACAAATGTAGGGTATGTGACGTCTATTGATGTGGCCGTCTCACGCCCCGACACAATCGTACTGGGCACTTCTGAAGGATTAGTGTTCATTGTCTTGCTGCATCCTGTCAACGGGCTGCAGCAGACCGTCATGCTGCGGCCGTTCCCAGCACAGCCAGTCCCTGCCGATACGCCTCTCGGCAACGGTTCAATCAACAACAACAGCACTAATAACAATACCAATATCAGCAGTGGAAGTGGGGTAGTTGCCATCACGGCCGTGTCGTTTGACCCGCATAATCCTAACCTTGTCGCTGCTGGTTCGCGCGAAGGGGCCCTCGCGCTACTGGACATCGCCTCTAACGCGGTTGTGCAGGCATTCGAAGTGCACGGAACGCCGGTTATTTCCATCTCGTGGCTTGCCGGTCAGGCAGGGACGTTCGTGACAACTGACGGGGAGTCCAGCAAACTTCGGCTCTGGGGAGTGAATAGTCGAACGCCCGCGCTCACGTGGAACCCGATTGCTGGCAGTGTCCTGCTGGGCAGTGCGGCCTTCGCGCCCGAGCACCTCCTCCTCGCGCTGCGCAACGGCAGCGTCGTGGTGTACAACACTAAGACACACCAGGTAGAGATGCAGACGGAGGGAGGGCACACGGACACAATGCACAGCTGTCGCTACGCCCACCATGACAGGGAACTTCTTGCTACCGCCAGCACCGACGGCAGCATACGTGTGTGGAATACAAAGCAGCTCACTCTCCAGCAGAACATCCATGTGGGGCAGGTGATTGTGCACTCTGTTGACTGGAGCCCGACCGGGAAGTATGTCGCCGCCGGTCTCAACAATGGCGAAGTTGTGTGCTACCATGTGAGCACACAGCGTGAGAACTGGCGGGTCAACGTTACATCCGGTGATTTGACCTGGTGTCTGTCGTGGAGTCTCGCGGAGTCGAGCAGCCACATCGCAGTCTCGCATCGGGGCGGCGTGGTGGTGCTTTCCGCGCGTGACGGCAAAATCGTCCGCCGCTACAAAACAAAATCACCTATTTTCGGTATTGATTTTGATCCAACGCATGCGAAGTACCTTGCTGCTGGCTGCCAAGACGGAAAGGTGCTCGTGTTTCATGTCACTTCAAGCCATGAGGAGGCGTCAGTGGTACTCTCTGGACACAGCGAAACCGTTAGCAGTGTGCTGTACAACCCTATTGTGTCGCACTTCCTGCTTAGCTGCAGCCACGACGGCACGCTGCGTCTGTGGGATGTCTCGTCTATGGCGTCGCACACGGCATCTGTCGCATCGCGAGTGTTACGCGGGCACACAGAACGCGTGAGCTCCATTGCGTGGTGCAGCCTGGCGCCGTACCTCGCCCTCTCCGGTTCGGCCGACTGCACTGTACGGCTGTGGGACGTGCGTAACGGCATGAACGTGATTACGGTGCGCTCGCACAGCGCGGAGGTGCTGGCGCTCAGTAGCCACCCCGAGCGCCCGCTCGTGTTTGCCTCTGCCTCACGTGACAGCACCATCGTCTTCTGGAATATAGGGCTGCTGCGGCACGTCTACCTCGAAGCAGCTCTTGGCACACTTGATCGGTTTCTTGTGAATGACACCAGCTCTCTGTTGAGCGCCACTTCCACGATCTCTGTCTCCGTCGTGGCGGGTGATGCGGTGCAGTCGTTGCTGAAGGACATCAAGGACACAAGCCTCACACCATACAAACGCATGGAACGGATTATTGGCTTCTTTGAGTTCCCGTGCGGTGCCGCCGACGTTGTGCGTGCAGTGGGGTACAGCTCCGACCCGCAAGACATTTCCAACGCTAAGTGCACTGTCGTACCCGCGTCACGGCTTGTAGAAGTGCGTAGAAAATGGGGAAAGTCAATGGTGGAGAAGGCGCATGGAAAGTCTGTTGCGGGGGCTGGTGAAGAGTATAAAAAGACGCGTCTTATAGAAGCCGCAGAGGCCATGCTGCAGCTCGGCAAAGTAAGTGAGTACTGTCAACTCATGGTGGAGGCTGGGGAGTGGGAAAGTGCTATTGCTGCTGCGCCTCTTGTTGGCCGAGACCTCTGGCGATCGCTCTGTATGCAGGCAGGAGAGGCGATGGAAGAGGCAGGCGACACACGTGCGGTGCGGTACTACATCATGGCGGAGGAGAGTGCACGTGCTGCACGCCTTGTGGCGCGGCAGTCAGACAAGAACTGGGACCTCGCGACGGTCATTGCACAGTCGTGCCCGCAGAGCACTGAGCAGACGGGGTCGGAGCCACCACATAATGTGGTGGTCGACACGAACGGAAGTTCTGCTGTTGTGGCAGAGCTGTTGGATGCACGTGCTGTGGCGTTGGCAAACGCAATGAATCCCCGCATTGTCACTGCAACTGAGCTTAATGAAGGTACCAATGATGATGCGGTGATGCATTTAATCTACCGCGGTGATGTAGTCATTGCGCACCTCCTCATTCACACTGTTCCGCTCCAACAACAGACAACCATTGACGCCGGGTACCGCCTTTCGATGTTGCAGTCGTGCCGCCAACGGCAGTGGGACACTGCGCTACTCTGCGCAACGCGGTTGTCAAACCCGTACGATGGGCTCGCGATTGTGCTTGCATTGTACCAACATATACAGGGAAAGATCAGGAAGAACGACAGCCCTCGGCCAGTCACGTCAGTGCAAGAAAAGATGAAATCTTTTCACGAAAGGGTTCTCGCCGAGTGCCAGCGTTTACAGCTTCCGCTCGACATGGAGAACATTCAACGGAAGCACGCCAATGATGGGCTTGCATCTGTGAATCAGATCGCCGCCATGGTGTTGTCGCCTAACACATCGATAGGCGTTGAGACAAGTGAGGAACTGGTGCAGACCATAGGTAACTTCATCGATAACCTCCTTCAGGTTGCCCTTCAGGACATTGACAGCACGAATGCTATATTCTACATGAAGCAGGCGTTGGCGGTGTCGTGCTATGTGAGTCTACCGGTTCATCTTCCACTGAAGAGCGGAACGGCAACGACATCGGCATCGTCCTCCATGACGTTCGCTTCTGGCGGCACGCACTCCGCGATTGTGCGGAAGTTCCTTGCCCAGGTATTCCTCGTGGCGGCGCTGATGTGCGTGAAGGTGTACCGCTTCCCAAAGCTGCTCAACCCCGTCTTTGCTAAAGCGCGCGAGCTAGCTGAGGGTGACAGCAGCCTCATGGCACTCCTCACAAAGGTACAACAGGCCCTTTCCTCGTACTCGCCGCACTCTGTTGAAGTGGACTGCATGCCCCTCGGTGCAACAGTGCCGACGTTCGCCGTGGAGAGCGGTGTGCAACTGAAGTCTGTGGTGACTACGGAGCCCATTAGCGGGGCGGTGCACATCCTCGAGGATGGTGTATCGGCCATGGGGAAATGCGAGGCGCTGCAGTGGATGCTGTGCTGCGCCTTCTCGCCCCTCGCCTCTGGGGCACGGATGCTGTCTCTGTAGAAACAGAGAGAGAGAGTGAGATATATATAATATATAATATACATATATGTGTATCGGCAGGCATGCAAAGAAGAGGACAGAGCACACATAGACCAACGCGCATCTGTATACCCGCACACAGGCACACACACACACACACACACACAGAGAGAGAAAAAGAGGAAGAGGAAAAAAAAAAGCGAAAAGACATACACACATACAAGTAGGTTCAGAGAAATATATGCCTAAAGGATCTGGGTTTAACACGCCGTAAACCAAAAGAAAAAGAATGGCTTTTGCTTTTTTTTTTTGTTAAACCCACGCATTGTTTCTTTGTGTACAGGAGGAAAACCGAAGATGGCAGAAACAAAAAAAGGAGTGGGGCAATGCCCGCACGATCTCCACATACATGCATTTCTATAGAGAAGCCGAGTGTTGTGGGAGAGTGGCTCCACAGAAACAGTGATTATAGTAATCCAAATGATTTAAAACGAGGTTGCTGTGCGTGCATGTGTGTGTGTGTTGTTTTTATCCCGTGTGTAATTGTGTGTGTGTGTGTGTGTGTCTGTCAGTATACCATATATTTTTTTTTGTCTTCTCTGTGCAGTGCGTACTTGGGATTATGATTACTCTGGGAGAGTAATAGAGAATGAAGGTGCAGCATGTGGTCGGCCAGCACCTCGCCGCAAGTTCAACTTGTGAGGGTGCATGCTGTTGGCAGCGGTGGGTCACACGGCGACGGTGGGGTGGGCTAATAGACAGAGAGAAATACACACTGAGGGAGGGAAGGAGGGAGGAAGCGTGTTTGGCACTCCCGTCATTGATGCATATGCTTTTCTCTCTCTGTCTCTCTCACGCACACACACACACACACACTCGTTGCTGCTGCTGCTGCTGCTGCATGCTAGAGGTGGCGCCGCGATACACATATAGAGGAATCTGTGGCTGGGAATAATATCGACGTGCTGCGTGATGACTGCAATATTTGTTTATTGTTCTCACTACTGCGGTGTTTAATGTTGTCGTTTGTTTCCTCATTTTGCGGCATTCCGTTGTAGCGTTTGTTCCTCTTCCCTTATTATGTTGTTTCACCTTCCTTTTTTTTTTGCCATTCGGGTGTGGTTTATGCATGTACGTCTATTGCGGCGGTGTGTGCGTATGTGGATGTGTGATTTGCGTGTGGGTGAGAGAGAGAGAGAGTAGTAGTAGTAGTAGTAGTAGTAGCACTGGGGCGCAGCGTTGGGAGCAAATATATATGCGAAGAATAGAAGAACAATAATGTTGCGGTTTCTATTGTTGCTACTGTTTGTTTGTTTGTTTGTGTGTCGGCTGGTGCAACGGGGGCCCGCTTCCGTATATTTATAGAGCTTTTCATTCTGCACACATACACATACTGCATCACTGCGATCACCATCGCTAACAACGACACGACTGGGGCTTACTCTTCCACGTATAGCAGACGTATGTTTATATATATATATATNATATATACATGGGTGCATGTTTTTTTTTTCCTAATCCTCAGCGTTTTGTCCACACACACACACACACACAGAGAGAGAGAGAGAGAGACGCTCACGGTGTGTGCGTGCACGTATTGACTGCTGTCTCTGTGCCTCTTGTCTGTTCTGCCGCCAGTCCCTCGCAGCGTGTCTGTTACACCTCCGAGTCCGTCTCACCTTTCGCCTGCCCTCTTCAATTCATCGCTGCTGCTGTTGATGATGTCTGTGTCCTTCTCCTTCCCTCTCTCTCTCTCTCTCTCTCTCTCTCTCTCTCTCTCTCCGTGCGTGCCATGTGTGTCGGTGCATGTGCAGCAGCAAGAAGTGAGGAAGGAATCCGTTTGTCTACAGCGGCTAACAGCACATCACAGATACGTAGGTAGGATACTGTAATAGGTACCAGCACACACAGACTGAAGCGTAGAGGGGCCGAGCAGGTGTACAAGGAGAAAACAAAAAAGGGTGGGTGGAATAGTAAGGTAAAGAGCAAACAGGCAAGGGAGGACAAAAAGACCACGTGCGTAACAGTACGGTGAGAGGACACGGGAGGGTAACACGGAGGTGTGCAGAATATCTGGAGCCGATAAATTCAAATCTCTCCCTATTCCCCGTCGCTTTCTGAGGAAGGGATTCGGTTTCTTAGCCGTGTTGTCCTGGGAAGTGGCTCATTCTCCTCTCAACACTTTTGTTTTCCTCCTGGTTCCTCTTCTTGAGTATACGCACCTGTATTCTCTGTGTAGGGGATGTACACATTCAGACGGCCACAACAACAGCAGCAGCAGCTCTCTGGGAACGACGATGTAGAGCAGCAAGGCATGCCCGCCAGTGAGGGCGGCGTCGACACCTACACTGCGCCAGACAACAGCGTCGCTCTGGAAGAGGGCAATTACGCACCCACACAGACAGCTGACGCCGCGTCGCTGCAACAGCAGCAGGCTGGTGGGCAATTCTCAGAGGAAGCGTCGGCGGAGGAAGTGCTGCAGTACTGCCGCAACAAGATCTTGTGCAGCCGCATCACTGTGCCGCCGCAGTGGCGGCGCGTGCGCACTGTGCTTCCCGCCTCTATCGCAGAGCTGCACTTGACGCCGTCCGCGCCAGAGCCAATTCAGCAGGCGTCATCGCCGTGCGTTGTGCTGCTGCTCGACAGCGGTGTGCCGGAGGGGATGACGGTGGCAGAGTACTCTAAGAGTCTTGTCAAGTACGTCATTGATCTTCTCGCGTACCAGGGCGCGTCGACAGCCATAACGTCGCTGCGCTTTGTGAAGCTCGGAACAGAGCTCTCGCAACTTGTTGTGACGTTTGGCCGGGATGTTCGACTGGCGACGCGTGTGTTGGAGGAGTTCACTAAGGTCGGCCTCCGCGCAGGTTTTGGCGCCCCGTTGGAAGCCGCAGCGGCAACAACAGCGTGTGCGACGTTCCGCGTGACGGATTACTACATGACGCTCCACGGTGGCACCGGCATCACAGCGGAGGAGGTGGCGTCGCTGCTGCAGCCGGAGCGGCCACCACTGGGCGTGAATGTTGTGCCCGGCTACGAGCCCGGTGTGTTCTACGTTGCGGTGGAAGGCGCGGAGGTGGTGCACGCGTGGCTTTGGAATCCCTTCTGCTCCTTCCTTGTGCAGCACACGCTGTTTGAGCGTCTCGGTGTGCTCCTCACGATGGCGGACTGCCCGCACGAGTTTGTGAGCCGCGGGGTGGGGCGGCACCAGCAGCAGCAGGAGCAGCAGCAAGGACGGCGGCAGGGGCGGGAGCGGCAATCGCGTGGCGGCAACTACAGCGAGGATGGTGACAACTCCGTCTCTGGTGGTGACGTTGACGACAACGATGATGGTGGCAACATGGAAGAGGACGGAAGCGATGTGGAGAAATCAGGAGGGCGCGCGGTGGAGAGCAACGCGATGGCGTGGGCAAGCAACGCAAAAGAAGAGATTGACATCTTTGAGGGACTCGACAAGGAGACAGAGCCGCAGAAGGCGAGTCTTGAGCTTGTTGATGATGGCATCATAGAGGTCCTTCACAACGCAAACACAGAGAAACAACAACAAAAACAACAACAGCAGCAGCAGCAGCAAGTGCAACAGGTGTATGCTGGTGGTGCTCCGCTGGGAGTGCGATTCGATCAGCTTCAACCAGGGGCAGTACCACCCGCCCTCTCTATGCCATACGTGCAGCCTTTTGCCATACAGCAGCAGCAGCAGCAACAACAACTAATTCTCTCCCAGCCACCGTACTACGGCAAGGACGTTCCGCAGGTGGGCGGATGGCAGGCCCCACCGCCAATACGCGGACCGCAAATTGGGATAAGAGCACCACCACTCTATGGCATGGCAATGACGGAGATGCACGCATCAGAAAAAAGATCGGATATAAAGTATCCGGAGCTCGTTGATGATAATAGCTCCAGCACACTTCCTGAACGTGGAAATGAAGGGGAAATCACATCGACATCAGCAATGGCGCAGCAACAGCAGTACTCGCAGTCGATGTATTGGAACCTCGGAGGTGGGCAGGTTATTGGTGATTGTGGTAGTGCTGGTGGTAGCTTTTACCCCGCTGCGCCTTCCTTGCCTCTGTATGGCGCCCCTCCGTACATGCCACTGCCGCAGATGCAGCAGCAGCAGCATCTGGGGATGAATGTGAATGCCGCTCCCTCTATTTTAGGACAGCCTGTGTATAGTGGTGCCCCCTTTCACCCATCTTTCGGCGACGGCAGTGGCAGAAGTTTGGGTGTTCTTGCGCCTCCAATCACGATGAGTGTGCCATTGCCATCACCGAAAATAACCGAGGAGCAGGCGAATGAGTGGGCTGACAAGCTGGAAGAATTGCTGCAGATTGCCTTCCCTGCAGAAGGCGACGGCGGCGAAGGGGGAGCTACAGGTACAACAACAGCAGCTGCCACCGAGAGTACCGATGCGTCGTCTTCGGATGCGCTTTTTCACCACGTTCCGTGCAGCGCCACAGTGCCGTTTCTGAGCCCGGAGTTGGAGGACACAATGGCGTTTGTCAGGGAGCAGCTCAGCGGTCTCAAGGCTGTGATTGCGAGCGACGACGACGCGCTGACGGGGAGCCGCCGCCGCATCATCGCCGCTCTTCTTACGCGTCTTCGCGGCGTGCGGCAGAGCGAGGCGCACGACTGGGTGCCACTGGTGCTGCAGGAAAGCAGCTCGAATGGTGACGGAACACAAACCCAGCATGTGCAGCTGCTGCCAGCGCTCCTTCCCTACTTGCTTCTCACCAGTGAAGGGATAGAACTCGCGTCGGAGCTCGTAACGCACGCGTCGGAGGAGTTTCTCCCCCTCCTGGCACGCTACATACTGCCATTCCTTCTGGATACAGGCGTCGTGCAGTCAGTCGGTGCAGCCGCCCTCCGCGCAGAGGTGTCCGCGGCGAACCCACTTGTGCAACGCATTCTCCGCCACTGGGGGGCACTCGCCGCGTGGCTGCACGCCCACATCCAGTACAAGGCTGTCGCTGCCGATGGGGCGGCTGAGCACACTGCGGCGGTGGCAAACTCTTCGGTAGCATGGCGGCTTACATCGCAGGCGAGCAACGTTATGGATATATTACTGACGGCGATGTCGCGCGAGCAGCAGGAAGCCGTGAGAACGCATCTCGAGGCCACCGGTGCGCTGTCCGAGTTTGCGCGGACGGTGAAAGCGGTGGAGCAGCAGGAAACGTTGGATGAAGAGCAGCAGCAGAAGCAGCAGCGACAGTTTAGTGCTATCTGTGCATCAACGCCTTCGTTGTGGTATGCTGATGGGGCTATTCACCGCTCGCTGTTGCGCCTGTATCTTAACGCCAACCTCTTCAGTGGCACAGAGTTTGTGGAATTGCTGTTCGCACCGCAGCCCTGCCTCACACGCAGTCACTACGGTTTTGTGACAGCAGTCTTCTCCAAGAGCCAAGTAAGCCCGGTGCTAAGCAACGAGACGGCGCGTGTGTGTGGTGGCTTTATACGCCTGATGGAGCAGAAGATTCTAAGCGTGGACAGCGACAGTGGCAGGCCGTCAGTGTTGCATGAAAAGGACGCGATGCACCTCGTTGAAATGGCGCTGCGTGAACTTGGGTCGGTGGAAGCTTATACATGCCTCCGCGACGCATATTTCGCAGCCCCATCTCCTGTTAAGAGGTACAAAACGGTGGAAGAGAAGCTGTCACAAGAAACACCGCCCGCTAAATTTCAGAACCAGCAGCACCAGCAGCAGCAGCAGCATTTTCCCACAGCAATCCTTGGTGCCTCATCGAGCTATCACACCTACAAAAAGCAGCAGCAACAGCAAGGGACTGATGGGCGTCATTCCGACTCATCGAGCGGGTGGCAGGCGGAATGGACAGCGGCGATGCGCAACTACCCTCAGTTCGGTGAGCCTTTTACACCACTGCCAACGGGGTGGACAAGCGCCCTCAGTCGCTCGTATGGGCACTACTACTTTAAGAACCCCAAGGGCTCTGCGACGTACAAGCACCCGACAGATGCTACAGAGTTCATGGTGGCTCCGCAGGCATTCTTGCGAGAGCCTGGGGTTACCGTCACACTCGCTGAGGTTCTCACCCATGCTAACAGCCAGTACGGCACCGGTGCGACAGCGGGAGATGCCCCGCATGAGACGAGCGCTGCCATCACGGAGGAGCGGGCGGAGAGGTGGCTGAAGGACCAACGTATGCGTGTGGAGGCACTGGACCTGGCTACGTTGGCATTGCTGAAGGTCACGTACCGCGTCGGTGGTGGTGCTGGGCGACGGGGCTTACAGTGTCCCAGCGCTGGCGGTGGCAGCGGTAAGTCCAACCGTCGTCACCGCCGCAGCAGCAGCAGCCGCAGTGGTGGCCGCCACCACCACCGCCACTCACACAAGCGTACTCGCAGCCGCTCGCCGAGCCCCGCGCAGTTGCAGCGCAGACTTACCAAGCTGCATGAATACCGAGCACGTGGCCACCCATTCCCACCGCTTCCGCGCGGCTGGACATGCAACCTCAGCACGTCCAATGGACTGTACTACTTTCGCCCGCCGCACGGCAGCCCTGTGTACCGACACCCACACACCCGCCGCGAGTATCGCGCCTCACCGCAGGCATTTGTGCTGCACCGTGACATCAACGCCAACGCGATTGCGGTGGAGACGCACAGGTCGATCGAGGACGTTGAGAAGTGGCTGGCGGATCAGCGGCAGCGCGACGAGGAGCTCGATGGGGCGGTGGCACGCATGCTTGCGATCGAGTACGCGCCGTGCCTTGACTACAGCGATGACGAGGGTGAGAAGAATGAGGATAAGGGCGGGGACGCAGTGGAGGTGCAGCAGGAAGGCGGCGGCAGTCGCAGCAGTAGCCGCAGCAGTGGCACTCCGCGTAGAAGTCACGCGAATGATTAGACTCACAGCGTATGTGCTTTGGCTGTGTGTGTGGGGGGGG